TAAAAGTGTAAACATATAAAAGATAAAGAAATAAAATAAAAACTAAAATAATTTTTTTTTGAAAAAAATCCCGTTTTATAAAAAATGCGTGTCGCGGCACCATGGCACACCTCAAGGAACCATGGCGTTAGCCACGCCTTACATAAGCTATGGGCCATTTCTTAATGTGAAGACGCGTCTTGCGCCATTTCACGCCATGACGTGTCTTTTTGAACAATGGATTTAGGTACCTACGTATCACACATATTCATTGTGTTAATGTGTTCCATATTTGTATAAAGTGAGGTTTGTAAGCTTGTAGCTCTTTTAAGTGGTGTGCGAGGTTGTGGTAACATCAATTAAAAACATGAGATTTGTGAACTTTATAAACACTAGGTCATAATGAACCACCAATAACTTCCATTATAGTTAAGTTGAATTAAAAAATATTGGGCTATGTTATTGCTTCAGGGGTTGGATTGTTACGAGTAGTATGAGAGTGACATAACCAAGCCTTATACCATTGTGATGGTAGAACAACCTTATTGATGAGGATGGTGTGTGATGTAGAGAGGATCACAAAGTTAATGGGGTTTTTCACATATCTTTGGAAAGAGAAAACTAGCTCAAAAGAACCCTAAAAACCCATATCAAAACTTGGGATACAGCCGCTTACGTGACTTCTCCCGTGGTTTGGGTCGCATGCCAGGTCGTAATATGCAGATTGCATTCATTTGTCATTTAATTATTTTATTTCCTAGTTAATTTAGGACTATTATTTGTTCAGTTGATTATTATTTGTTTGTTTTTCCTAAGTAGTTTATGTTTCCTTTTCATAATTTCATTCTAGGATTATCTCTAGTTATTATCTCATTCGTTTTCCCAGTTAGTTTAGGTTTAGGATATTTGAATTTAATTTACATAGTTATTTACAGATTGATTTAGCATTCAAATAAGGTTTATTGTTTTCATTTGATATCGAGTTTGATTTCTCGTTTTAAGAGTTTTCTTTTAATTTCTTCGAGTGTTACGTCTGTAAGCTCGTTATCTTTAGGGTTTTGACGTCTGCTAACCCTTCCGTATTTGTCATTGCGTCAATGTGTCCTAGAAGTGGCTTTTAAGCTCATTTAAATGGGTTGCGTTTGTGATAACTCATCTCACATACATGAATAAAAAATTAGATCTGTGAAATTCTTATAAACCGTGACTCATGCTACCAATTACTTGAGATTAGCCTATTGCTTTGTGGTCTAGAATCTGACATTACACTCGTATCTACTTGTCCATTCATATTGGCATTAATAAATGAAATGTTATATGTAATTAAAGGGTTAGGTTCACGTGAAACCAATGGTTTTTCGTGAGACCCGTAAGACCAATTTATGTTCATTGATCAACTATATATGCATATGATCTAATGGTCTAAAATTGCACGGTGACAATTTTGTAATTATTGAGAATTCTTGTGGCGTTTATGAATATTCAGATCTGACGATTGTGGATCTAATCCAAGGGTTAAGAATTGGTCTTACGCGTCTCACGAAAAACCCTTGGTCTCACACGATCCCAAGTCTGTAATTAAATATGCTTAAATCATATCTATTTATAAGGTACATTTTAAATATCAGTTTCGGGAAGTCAAATAAATTTTTTAATAAACAAACAAAGCACAAAGGTATCATTATGTTTGCATAATCGTAACTTTGATGATGATAGGTATCAGTTACATAATTATTGTAAGCAATAAAATAAAAAGCCTAAAATATTTGTCTTCAATATCCTTTAAATCATATTTAAAACATAAACTTTTTGCTATAAATTTATTAACATGTCTTTAATTATTTAATGAGTAACGAACACTCTAAAAATCAAACTTTTTTTGATTAACCTGGATATCCAACCCGTTATGCGAGCCGACTAATCACAGGACGACCACCTGCTTTCCAGATAGTCCGGAGTCACCACATTTAAACCTCCGTGGCCACAAGGGGATTTTTATTTCTCCTTGCATTTGAACTTGGGACCTCCTGGGTCTTTTGATCTTTGGAGTCAAGCTCAAACCAATCGGGCACTACCTTTATGGTTCTAAAAATCAAACTTTGGATATTTAGGTTTTCAAAATAAGTTTAAACTATTTAGACGAGTCTTAGAAATAAGTTAGAAAAGCAACTAAAGAAGAGAACAAAAAAAAAAAAACACTTTTGGCCACAACGTGAGGTCACGGATCACATCACCTGCACATCTCGTGTTGACTGTTAATTGTAAATTCACACGTGATTTGACCGTTTTCATATTTTTTTATTTGGTTAATGTCCCCTTTTAAACACCCCCCCTCTACGTTTGCATATAGTTAAACCGTTGACTTATAAAATTAAAGGTGATTACAAAAACTTGACTTTGATCTAACAATTAAGAATGTTTGAAGTAAAAAAAAGTGTTTCCACCACAAAATGATGAAGTAAATGTTTGCATATATGCTACTTTTTGTTTTCTTAGGTGAATACAATGTACAAATTGATTGTGTAATGAATAAACCAGAAGTACAACTAAAACTAGGAAGTCAAAAAGGTCCAAGATTGAAATAATGTTAGGCATGATGCTAGAAATTGAGGTAATTCTAGATTTGTATGATTGAATGCGACAAGTCCTTTGTTTTGTGCCACAAATTTGTGAAGATGTTTTAGTGACTTTTGCTTGTTACTTTGGATAAAAAATGTACAAAACAATATTTAATTGGTCACATTTTTGTAATTTTTTTTTTTTTTGACATAGTTTTATTTTATTAGATCTTAAATAAAATGACTTAAGGAAATATGATTTTGATAAACTTTTGAGTTAAGAAAAAGTTTATAATGATCAAGAATCTGCTAATAGAAATTATCAATGAGTTTTTTGCATGATGAAGTATATATAATTGACGACGTTTTGCATTAGAAATGAAAAGTTTTCATGCTATGAAAGCCATAGACATATTCAGTCGAGTTCTGTAAAACTAATATATACATAATAAATTTCCTATTGAACTAATACCTTTTGTCTTTGCGGTTTCAGTTTTTTCACAAATATATGATAAAGACTATTGGAGAACCTTATGCATAGTTCTATAGTTAACCTTTTTTTTATTAACCTGGATATCCAACCCGTTATTCGAGCCGACTAATCCCAGGGCGACCACCTGCTTTACAGATAGCTCGGAGTCATTGCATTTGAACCTCCGTGACTGCAAGGGGATTTTTATTTCTCCTTGGATTTGAACGTGGGACCTCCTGGTACTTTTGACCTTTGGAACCAAGGTCAAACCAATCAGACACCACCCTTGTGGTTTTCTATAGTTATCCTTGATCTTCATTAAAAGGGAAAATGCTTACCTAGACCACCAAATTATTGAAATTGTTCAACTTAGACGGTTGTTTAATTACAGGAAAAACTAAAAGATGTTGTCCACCTATCGATCGGGTTTATTAACACAAAATATGGATCCCTCGGGTTTTTTTTTAATTTCAATTTCAAGATACATCAATGCTAGTTTAAAGTTTTTGGCATCTATAATTTTTGTCAATTTTGAATGATTAAATTTTTAAATAATTTTTTTAAACAAATAAATCTCTAGAACTTCTATAAAAGAGATCAAATAGATCATTTTGACCAATAAAACTATGTGAGCAAATATGTTGTTAAACTAAAGGAAAAGTCATTACAACTTTAGCAAATTTTCCGATTTTCAGAGCTTAAATCACAAGAAAAGTTTTAGAATAAATAAATTATTGAACTTTCTAAAATTGATTAAATAGATTTTTTTACTAGTAAAACTGACATGTAACTGGTTTTATGAGTAAATATATTTTAAAAGTAGCATAAAAAAAGAAAATGGCTTCAAAGGGTGGCCAAAAATTTGAAGTTACATGCAATCCGTAGTTTTCCCCTTCATCGCGACTCCTTCATCCCAGACCCATTAATGTGGTGGTGATGCCTCGACGACGTCTCCAACCAACCCGTCATGTTTGCCTCTGGTGACCATGCCACCCACCAAGGTTCGATTTCTTAGGAGATCATGCAACTCATCTCAAGTTCGATTTTTTGCTACGATTTCTCAAGTTCGATTTCTTGCTACTCTTTCTCAGGTTTAATTTCTTGCTACTTTTTCTCAGTCTCGATTAATATTTAGTGCGCTTTCTCGATCCAAAGATCAATATGTAAAAGGCTTATTTACCGGATTCAAACTATAATTATGATCACCTAGAACCGGACCTCATTCAATATTTATTAGCTTAAAATATACAAGCTTTCTTCTAAATCATAACAAATAAAAGACCTTTTTGTATGTTCAGTTCTCTTCATTTCTAGTTAATTTTGGAGCCTATTGCCATCATTTGCTCCTTGTAAAGTTGGAGATAGATTTATTTCAAAAATTATTTAAAAAATTAAATACTTTTTAATAATGTATAAGTTTTTATATCCATGTAATAATATTTTGTTTTATTAATGGGAAAATTAATTAAAATCAATTATATACGAATAATCTATTTTACTTATAGTGTCTAATAATATAATTTATTTAATTATTATAATAAAAAAATTATATGTATCAAATTTGTAAAGGAATACGAATATACGAGTATCATACATAGGGTGTTTGGGATTGCTTATAAAAACAACTTATTGACTTATTCCGGTGTGACATCGATAATAAACACTTTTGAGTGTTTAGATAAACAACTTATACCGGTGTCAAACCGGTAATAAGGAGTTTTAAAAAAAGTTAAATCATTCTAACTTATAATAAGTTAATAAACACTTTTATAGAAAAGCATAAGTTGTTTCAAATAAGCAATCCCAAATACGTTAAATAGCTAGATGACCACATACTCGTTTTTCTACCTTCTTATACTATTTGGCAACCCTTGGGCTCCCTATAAAACCACATACCTTACTCTTTTCTTTCCCAATTTTCTCAACCTTGATAGATACAAAGTAAAAACCCCCTTGGAAACTCTTGCTCTTTTCCATCAAATATTATGACGATGAGTCCACAGATGCCACAATTCCAATGCATGGCTCCTGAAGAGAACCCATCCGCTTTCTCCACCTTCTCCATCCAAGATCCAATATCTGTGCTCCATATGAGCAACCTCTTTACCAACATTCCCGACTACTTCTCTGCATACCCTTCATCTCTTAGCAACAACTCAACTTCTGATGAAGCCGACGACCAACAGATGGACATGATCAACGAGCGGAAACGCAGAAGAATGATATCGAATAGGGAGTCTGCTAGGAGGTCAAGGGTGAGGAAACAAAGGCAACTCAATGAACTTTTATCACAACTGGTTCGTCTTAGAACCGATAATCACAGTCTGGTGGAGCAACTGAACCACTTAGCGGAGAGCCACAAAAGGGCGGTTGAGGAAAATGCACAGTTAACGGAAGAGTCGACTGACATCCGACGGATGCTTGATGAAATCCAACTTGCTAACGCTAGCACAAATATGCTTCCTTGAACTCTAAGATGATTGGAATGTTATGTCAGATATATAAAGCTATAAGAATACTGTTTCTTATGTAACATGCAAGTGCATATTTAGTTTCGGTACTTCATTTTCTTGTATCAAGAATGATGAATGATCGAGTTTATCTGTAATCTAAAAACTTCTTTGTGATATTTGTACGGTTGGTTGATTTGTTCCAAGTGTATTGATCACAGAGCTTCAATCTGATCGCTATATAATATATGGGTATGAGCTGTTAAGTATAAATTATTCCAGGGTGAAAGAACCTGGAAGCAAAAATCAATGATTAGTGGACTTTCTACTCGTTCAGGCCTTATCAAAGGCACAAATGCTTGGTTGATAATGACATTTACTACTGAAAACGTTGCAATGCTTATTCGGGAAAGGCATGGAGTTGATGACGACGTAATGTGGACCAATAATACGCAACTATATATTATAAACACTACAACAAAATTGAGTTTACAAGACACCCCCAATCTCCAAGTGTCCCAATAGGTCTTTTTATAAGACTTAATTTATAGGACCAAAATATAAAGTGTCCTATAAAGGTGTTGTAATAAGTTTATATGACGCTTTTGGACGTCTTAACAAGTTTTTTATGACATTTTTAATACAAAATATCGCATTAGCAACTTAATAGGACATTTTTGAGAAAGTGTCCTATAAACTCTTTTTTTTATAGGACACTTGTTTTTATAGGACAATTTTTCAAATAGTGTTTTATAAAGTTGATAAATGAGACACTTTATATTAAAAGTGTCCTAAAAAACTTATTACGACGTCAAAAAAACGTCATATAAACTTATTGCAACACCTTTAGATAGGACACTTTATTTTTTTGGTTCTATAAACTAAGTCCTATAAAGAGGTCTATTAGGACACTTAGAATTTCAGAATCTTCTATAAACCCGATTTTGTTGTAGTGATTGTTATCTTGCTTGGTTGATTTGAGCACATTGGGGTCTAAGTATTTGCATATTGTTGTCGGATTTCTACTTTAGAACACTTTGTTAGCATTGTTCTGGAACGTGTGTGTATTGGTTTGTGCAAATTAACCCTAACAAAACACAAAAGAATAGTTCCAAAAGGATCCCAACAATCACCGGAATCCAATTCTAAAAAGTATTCAATACTTAGATTTGAAAGACGGATCTACCAACATGTAATCACAAATCCATTCGTAAGCAATTCATAATAACTTAAAATGCAATAAGATGTCGCTAATACACAATAATAACAGAAGTTACCCGAAACAAGACACCAACATTTAACATGGTTTCATTATCGATGTGATTGTATATACTCACAAGGAGAGAGATCGGCTTTATTAATCAAATGAGAGTTCTAAGAAACTTGCAAGATTAAAGATCAAAGGATTTGCTAGAACATGTTTAATCCTCAATGTACTTTACTTTAGGAAGTACAACTAAAAATACATCAAAGGCCAATAATGTTGGCATAGAATCTCCCCTTATTGGACAATTCATTCATGTGAAGTAGGTTGTCGACCTAGCCACTACTAGAAAAACAGGTATCAGTGACGTCGCAGATCAGCGAGGGATCAGCGAGGGAAATGCCAAAAAACTAATTTCCTCGCTGTTCCCTCGCTGATCTGCGAGGGAATTGCCAAAAAACTCATTCCCTCGCTAATCCCTCGCTGATCTGCGAGGGAAATTTTCCCTCGCTGATACCTCGCTGATCTGCGAGGGATCAGCGAGGGAAATACCAAAAAAATCTTTCCCTCGCTGATCCCTCGCTAATTTGCGAGGGAATTTTCTTCTACAAAATCTCTCGCTGATCCCTCGCAAATCAGCGAGGGATCAGCGAGGGAAATGACAAAAATTCAGAATCCCTCGCTGATCCCTCACAAATCAGCGAGGGAATGTGAATTTTTGTCATTTACCTCGTTGATCCCTCGCTGATTTGCGAGGGATCAGTGAGAGATTTTTCTATTTTTCCTATTTTCTCATTTTTATGTGTTATATGTACATATTTTTATATGTTGATATCGTATGTATGCATGTCATGTGTTGTTTTTGTGTGTGTGTGTATATATATATATATATATATATATGTTGTAGTTGCTAACCGCAATATATGCATGTGTTATAAGTATATATACCCGTCGTGAGGGAAAATGATATACATTCACATATACATATACGTTTAAACATATATTCATTCATCCAATCGTGGTTAGCAACTAGTACACACACACACACACACACATATATATATATATATATATATATGTGTGTGTGTGTATATATATATATAT